TCAGGCTTTCTTAAACCCCTGTGGGTTTAAGATACTATCTATCTATCTATCTATCTATCTATCTATCTATCTATCTATCTATCTATCTATCTATCTATCTATCTATCTATCTAAAATACCTTGCTTAGAGAATGTATTCTCCACTGTACACACACAGGGGTCTAAGGTGCCTACTGTGGTTTTCTGCTCTTCTCTTACCGAACAGCACACCAAGAACATCTCACCTTCCCAGCCCTTCAGTGTCAATGTTGTCAGTTTGCATGCCTGTGTAGTAAGCACCAAAATATTGAGGTGTTAGGTACCACTGAGAGTTCATATCCATGTCTTCAGGTATGCCCCCCATTTTTTTTTATAAAGCATTGATTCTTGGATAGGTTGGTTGTTTCTATAGGTCCCCATGACCAACAGCGACGCAGCTAAGATTGTTACCCATGCGTCTTCCGCAATGATGTGCTTGATGACTTGGGGTAGGGTCTGGAATGCCTCTGTGTGCTTCAAATTGTCTGATTCCCTCAATACAGTCCAGTCTGTGTCCGGGGCTGAGCACCACATGTGCTCCTCTGCAGCAAACCTGCCCTGAGAAAGGAAGGGTTTGGGGTCTGCTGGCACGAAGAACAAGTCAGGTGCTGTCACGACTCACCGAGGTGCACATCCATGACCAGGTACCACCGTGCTCTGTGGGCCTTTCAAATGCTGTTCTGTTGGATGTAGACTGTCCGGGCTTTTCTTCCTCCAAAGCATGTCTGTGTGAACGAAAACCACTACCTTCTCAGCAGCCAGAGGCATGAACTGTTTGGAAAACCCAAGGATTCATAATAAATACCAATTGGTATGCTCATTTCCATAATGCCTTCACTCGCATGACCTAAAGCAGCGGTTCTCAACCTTCTTAATGCCGCGACCCTTTCATGCAGTTCCTCATGTTGTGGTGACCCCCACAACCATAAAATGATTTTCGTTGCTACTTCATCTGTCATTTTGCTAGTGTATTGGATCAGGTGACCCCTGTGAAAGGGTTATTCGCCAACCCCCCAAAGGGGTCATAAACCACAGGTTGAGAACCGCTGTCGTAAAGGGAAGGGGGGGACCCCTTTAAAATGAACACAGTTTGAATCCCTTGATACTAAAAATGACATTCCAATGTGGTATGAATTGCAGGGCACAGGATCCTCCAGGGAGGGAGTAGAATAATGGTAACACTACCTCCAAAGAGCCCTGGTGGCATAGTGATTATGCATTGGGCTGCTAATTGCAAGGTTGTTGGTTCAAAACCACCAGGTGCTCCTTGGGAGAAAGACGGAGCTTTCCTGCAAAGAGTTGGTCTTGGAAAGACACAGGAGCAGTTCTATCTTACCCTATGGGCGTCGCTATGAATTGGCATGGATTTGATGGCTGTGAGTCTACATCACATTCAGACGTGCATAGAACCAGTTGTAGGATATATGGGGAAACAACAGCTCCACATTTCGATATCTTTGCCTCATAAAGGTTTCAATGACTTTGCAGCAATACTTTCTGATTTACACTGGTCTCTGGGAAGTTACGTCATTCCTTTAGGTCTCTGCTTCTTCATCAGCCGAAGAAGACTGCCGCACGAGGATCACCAGGGCCACTTCTAACACTAGGACATTGGTCATGAAATGTCCTCTGTACCCGTGATTTAAATCCATCTCACTGCACTGCTGCCTGGCTGGACAGTCTTCAGGAATTTCTGCAGAGCTTTGATAGTCAGTTTTAATCTTCCATGCAAGAGGGACTCTTGGTGGCCTTCAAGAGCCAAGAGATCCAGCAGAGGTGAAGTGAAGACAGAAACAGCGAACTCTCAAAGACAGAAACTTTGATGAAACCACAGAGGCGCAGGCTCCTCCTATTAAGGCCCCAATCAGTTGGCTAGCACCCCACATCCTTCCTCCACAGGGAATGGTTACAGGAGCCAACCCCCAGATCTCCAGGCCGACCAGTGAGTAGGGACCCGGTGGAGATGACATGAACTCCACTTGGTTGGAGGGAGTTTTGAAAGCCTGATCTACCGAAGGGAGATTTGCTCTGCCACCAGTCAGACCCGGAGAGATCTAACTGCTCTTTCTTTCAGCGTGC